GATGTAGTGAATGCAGGGTCTGAGGAGACCAGATATAGTGAATGCAGGGTCCGGGAGACCAGATATAGTGAATGCAGGGTCCGGGAGACCAGGTAGAGTGAATGCAGGGTCTGGGGAGACCAGATATAGTAAATGCAGGGTCCGGGGTTATTAATTTAAAAAACTGCCATTTTTATTGATTAATCCCTTCCCAGCCAGCCCTGCCATCCCAATAACATGATCTGTATGCCGCGGAGGGGAAGGGTCATGTGACCACTGTAATTGGCTGTCACAGCGGTCACATGACTGGCTCTTGATTATTAGTATGAACCAATCACTGTAAGAAAGCCTCATGCACGCTGGACGGTTTTCCAACTCTACTAGACACCTCTTCCCTGGCAGCAGCATTTCGGAAAAAAACCCAAAAAGAACGCTTGATGCTTGTAAACATGTGTAACACATTTAGGCACGCCAAGCGCATGGGCATTAATTTAATTTAATTTGAATTAGCATCTGTTCCCAATGGGACCAACTTATGTCCTTTCTGCAGTTTCTAGAGCCAGTTAGGATGTTTGTTGAATGTGGTAAGAAATACAGATAAGCATGGACAGAGTATACACATTCTATACAGTTAGCACCCCTGGTGGGAAGTGACCCCGGCACCCCAGAACCAGCTAACAAACCATTCAGCTGTCCTACAACCAGTGTCCCTTCCAGTGAGCAATGGCTCCCCGGCTACTTGTATTCTGAGCCTTGTAGTTCTCAACATTGGATGAGCCATAGGCACCCTATGTATGTAGGTGGCACAAAGACTCGTGAGTCACCCTGATGCTGACAGCCCGCCGCAACACGTTCACTGAGATAAGAGGCAATCAATGAATTAGATGTCAGCTTAACTGGAAGTGTCACAGCTTGGTCACCAGATATTGGAAATTAGAAGAGGTGGAATGTTGGGATGTTCCCACGCATGACAGCTGATGTGACCGACAGCACTGGACCCCCCCTCCGAGCATGAACATTCACAACATTCACAAGTTCCAAAAGTGACTTTTGTAGCTGAGTAAAGACCACAGAAGAGTCCCCCCAATCACATCAGAGGTCCCCCCTTCACATCAGATGTCCTTTCATCACCAGATATTGGAAATGATAAGAGATGGAATGTTCCTGGAATGTTCTCATGCATGACAGCTGATGAGACCAACAGAACTGGTTTTCAAAAGTGATTTGTGTAGCTGAGCATTACCATATCAGAGCTCCCTCTACCACACCAGAGGTTCCCCCATCACGTCAGAGGTTCACCCAGCACATCAGAGGTCCCCATCACATCAGAGGTCCCCCCCATTACATCAGAGGTTCATCCATAAAATCAGAGGTTCACCCATCACATTGGAGGTTTCCCATCACATCGGAGGTTACTCCATCACATCAGAGGTGCTCCATCACAATAGAGTTCCCCCATCACATCAGAGGTCCCCCCATCACATCAGAGGTTCACCCATCACATCAGAGGTTCCCCATCACATCGGATGTTACTCCATTATATTGGAGGTCCTCCATCACATCAGAGGTTCCTCCATCACATCTAAGGTCTTTCATCGCATCAGAGGTTCCTCCATCACATAAGAGGTTCCTCCATCACATCTAAGGTCTTTCATCACATCGGAGGTTCCTCCATCACATCTAAGGTCTTTCATCACATCGGAGGTTTTCTTCATCACATAAGAGGTTCCTCCATCACATCTAAGGTCTTTCATCATATCGGAGGTTCCTCCATCACATCGGAGGATAACCCATCACATCAGAGGTTTCCCATCACATTGGAGGTCCTCCATCACATCGGAGGTTCCTCCACCACATCAGAGGGCCTCTCATCACATCAAAGGTTCCCCAGCACATTAGAGTGCTACCCTTAAAGGCAGAAGCCCCCTATCACGTCAAAGGTCCCTCTTTACATCAGAGATCCCCCATCACATACTGACCACCCCCCTTTCTTCAGAGTCTCACCTTTCGCATCAGACATTTCCCCATCACATCAGAGCCCTCCATTTACTTTAGAGTTGCCCAACCACATTAAAACCCCCTTCACATCAGAAGCCTTCTTTCACATCAGAGATTTCTCATCACATCAGAGCCACCCCCCCTTCACTTCAGAGGCCCACCATCACATCAGAAGTCCCCCATATCAGAGGTCTGTCTTTACATCAGAAGCCCCCTATACACAAGTCCCCCCATTACATCAGCATCCCCCAGAACAAAGCCCCCCAATAACACAGGGCCCCCATCACACTGGAGTTTTCACATCACTGAGCCCCCAAGTCACAGAGTGCCCTCTTCAGGCGGAGGCTGATTTCCACCTTCTTCTGAATGCAGGAGATGGCCCTGCATGCTGTCTCTCCTGGATCGGAGTCATGCATTGACATTGTTCTGGCGTGCTGACCACCATCACTGTGTAAATATATTTATTTTAGTAAATATAAACTGCTAAATACCTTTTCTCATCAGCAGTATATAGCAGTCTTGTGACTTCCATCAGTGTCCAGCCGAGCACTGGTTAAAGCTTGTAGGAGGAGTTTTCATTCTCCCCTGAATGGCCCTGACACTCTGTCTGGACAGTGCTGATTGGCCCTGTGCTGATCACATGCACCCTCCCAAGAAAGAAAAAAAACTCTCTAGCAATACACACCAAACTGAGCATGTGCATTGTGCCCCCAAGGCTCTGTTCTATCAGCAGATGGATTAGGGACAGTAGAAGAAGGGGAGGATCAGGGAAGTCAGGACAGCCATTAATCAATAAAAATGGCAGTTTTCTTATTAATAAACCCGGACCCTGCATTCACTATATATCTGGTCTCCCCGGACCCTGCATTCACTATATCTGGTCTCCCCGGACCCTGCATTCACTGTATCTGGTCTCCCCGGACCCTGCATTCACTGTATCTGGTCTCCCCGGACCCTGCATTCACTGTATCTGGTCTCCCAGGACCCTGCATTCACTGTATCTGGTCTCCCCGGACCCTGCATTCACTATATCTGGTCTCCCCGGACCCTGCATTCACTATATCTGGTCTCCCCGGACCCTGCATTCACTATATCTGGTCTCCCCGGATCCTGCATTCACTATATCTGGTCTCCCCGTACCCCGCGTCCACTATATCCGGTCTCCCCGGACCCCGCGTCCACTATATCCGGTCTCCCCGGACCCCGCGTCCACTATATCCGGTCTCCCCGGACCCCGCGTTCACTATATCCGGTCTCCCCGGACCCCGCGTTCACTATATCCGGTCTCCCCGGACCCCGCGTTCACTATATCCGGTCTCCCCGGACCCCGCGTTCACTATATCCGCTCTCCCCGGACCCCGCGTTCACTATATCCGCTCTCCCCGGACCCCGCGTTCACTATATCCGGTCTCCCCGGACCCCGCGTTCACTATATGTGGTCTCCCCGGACCCTGCATTCACTATATCCGCTCTCCCCGGACCCTGCATTCACTATATCCGCTCTCCCCGGACCCTGCATTCACTATATCTGCTCTCCCCGGACCCTGCATTCACTATATTCGGTCTCCCAGGACCCTGCATTCACTATATCTGGTCTCCCCGGACCCTGCATTCACTATATCTTGTCTCCCAGGACCCTGCATTCACTATATCTGGTCTCCCATGAAAAAAAAAAAACTCTTTAGCAATACACACCAAACTGAGCACATGCAGCTTGCTCCCAAGGCTCTGTTCTTTCAGCAGATGGATTGGGGACAGTAGAAGAAGGGTAGGATGATAGAAGACAGGATCAAACAGCGTTTTTACACAGTGCAGAGGATTAACCCCTTAGGTCCCACAGTGAGTATAATCAGCATGCTTTACTGCATCTACAGACTGATTGTACTTTTGTGGGTTTAGTAATACTTTAAGTTCTGTCAATCATGGAGGTTCAGCATCACATGTGGGGGAGACCCTGGGCAGCCTGTATGCAAATACAGCCTAGGAACGCCCACTGCTCCAAACTGACATCCACCCCTCCCACCAGCAATAAGCCGGCCCCTCCCACCAGCCATGAGCCTGCTCCTCCCACCAGCAATAAGCTGCCCCCTCCCACCAGCCATGAGCTGGCCCCTCCCACAAGCATTCAGCTGGACCCTCCCACCAGCCATGAGCCGGCCCTTCCCACCAGCTATGAGCTGGCCCCTCCCACAAGCCTTGAGCTTGCCCCTCCCACCAGCCATGAGCCAGCCCCTCCCACCAGCAATAAGCCGGCCCCTCCCACCAGCCATGAGCCGCCCCCTCCCACCAGCCATAAGCTGGCACCCTTCACCACCCATGAGCCGGAACCTCCCACAAGCCTTGAGCCAGCCCCTCCCACAAGCCACGATCTGCCTGCATTGCATAGAGAAGCACAGAAACCCAGTGTTAGATTTAAAATCAGGTCAGTAATGAAGAGGGAAAAGTTTTTATTGAACAATTTATCAGCGTGTTGATGAGGGAGGGGAAAGAAGGAGCCAGGGAAGGCAAAATATGAGCAGCTTAAACTTCTGCTGGTAACAGCTGTGGGTGGATTCACCCTTTAAGTGATCTTTGATTTTTTTTTTTTCCCCTGACAGTTTTTAGATCTCATTCCCACATTTCACAGATGACATATTAAACCATTCTCAGATTTGTATCGGCGGCTGGGAGCTGCGCGGGGAATAGCTGTGTGATTTTCAGGTCCGTTGTCACCGTGTAATCAGAATTTGGCATTCTTTATCACTTGCTAAGCAGTCCATTTATCTGTCACTCGGTTAGATATCTCCATATACTTTGCTCCAGGCTTCAGCGTTGATTTAGTGATTCTGGAGCTGTCAGAGGTTTAATATGAGATCTAACATCCCCCCCACCACCACCATCCCTCCCCCCCCCCCCCACAGCCCCTCTCCATCTCCCCCTCCTGGTCTGAGCCGGCATGCCCACCCCTCTGCTCTTTATAAGCCAGCCTGCCGTTCTCTCCTCCAGATCTCCTACCGAGAGCCTGTGGCTTGCAGTACATCGCCATGGCGTGTGTGAGCCCCCGCTCCTCCCTACGACTCACCCTGCTGTGCAGTGCCCTGGCTCTCCTGCTCTCCTGCCAGCGCACAGCCGCCTGGTACAAGCAGTCTACCGGCCCCAGCTACTACTCCGTCGGCAGGGCGTCCGGGCTGCTCTCCGGAATCCGAAGGTCGCCCGACATACGCCGATCCGAGCCCGAGAACGCAGCGGAGAGCGCCGACAGCGCAGACGACAGCTTCCTGAACGCCTTCGGGAGCCAGCGGCAGGGAGCCGTGCTCAAGAATATGGTGAGTATGGGAACGGGGGGAGGGGGGGGGGGTGACTGGTGGTGGGGTTGGGAGACGTGTGTGTGGGTGCGTCCAGTTATGGATGGAGTATGAAAGGATAAGAACCCCTGTCAGGTATTTATTGCCATCCAGGGGATGTATGGAAGGATAAGAACCCCTGTCAGGTATTTATTGCCATCCAGGGGATGTATGGAGTACGGAAGGATAAGAACCCCTGTCAGGTATTTATTGCCATCCAGGGGATGTATGGAAGGATAAGAACCCCTGTCAGGTATTTATTGCCATCCAGGGGATGTATGGAAGGATAAGAACCCCTGTCAGGTATTTATTGCCATCCAGGGGATGTATGGAAGGATAAGAACCCCTGTCAGGTATTTATTGCCATCCAGGGGATGTATGGAGTATAGAAGGATAAGAACCCCTGTCAGGTATATATTGCCATCCAGGGGATGTATGGAGTATGGAAGGATAAGAACCCCTGTCAGGTATTTATTGCCATCCAGGGGCTCTGCTATGGTGGCCATACATGCTTTGATGACTGATCAAATTGGGCAGCACAGTGGCTCAGTGGTTAGCACTTCCACCTGGCAGTACTCGGGTCATTGGTTCGAATCCCAGCCACGGCACCACCTGCCTGGAGTTTGCATGTTCTCCCTGTGCCTGTGTGGGTTTCCTCCGGGTACTCCGGTTTTCTCCCACACTCCAAAGACATGCTGGTAGGTTAATTGGCTCCTGTCTAAATTGTCCCTAGTATGTGTATGTATGAATGTGAGTTAGGGACCTTAGATTGTACACCCCTTGAGGGTTAGGGACTGATGTGAATGTACAATATATATGTAAAGTGCTGTGTAAATTGACGGCGCTATATAAGTACCTGAAATAAATAATTTTCTGATCGATCTCTTCCTATAGCAATGATCGATCTATATATCAGAGCAATGAACCTCCTATGAAACAAGTACTGCAGCGAGCATGTACTGTGTCCCCACATGTGAATCAATCATTCATTGAAATGTGTACAGCCATCATAAAATGATCGAATTAAATAAGAATCGTAAATCATTGACCGTCCGTTCATGGATTGGTACTGCGCTGCATTTTTAAAAAAATTTTTTTTATTTAATAATCGATCTATAATCGATAACCCGTTTGATTGTTATCCCACACGTGGGGAAGTGGATTTCGATCGGTAGTTAAGAGACGATCGACACTTATGGTGGCAAGCTAGTATTATTATTGATCAATCCTATCTCTGTTTCCACCATATCATCTCATTATCTGATCCATCGAAATCCAATCAGATTCATGGACAAAGTATCTCAGGGCTGCCGATCGATTGATAATATTCCGCCCTGGCCAAGCAACTCAGTTTGATCGAATCCAATCGAAATTGAGTGTGAATCAGTAGGATGGGAAGTCATGGCTATTCGGTTGTTTGCAGATTTGATTGTTTTTAATCAAATCACACGTTGATCAGATGATAGAAGTGTGTATGGCTCAGTGGCGGACTGACAACTCATGGGGCCCCGGGCAATAGGGGATCATGGGGCCCCTGTGTCCTTGCCCACACTCAAAGCACACCCAAAAAACCCTATAAAAGGTACCAGGGGCATTTCATGGGGCCCCCTACTGACCCCGGGCCCTCGGGCAGTGCCTGAGTACTCAAATGGTCAGTCCGCCCTTGGTATGGCTCCCATAAATCCCACTGAATGGTCATATCAACCAGGGACAGACTGACAACTCATGGGGCCCCCAGGCAATAGGGGATCATGGGGCCCCTGTGTCCTTGCCCAAACTCAAAAAAGCCTATGAAAAAGGTACCAGGGGCATCTCATGGGGCCCCCTACTGAGCCCGGGCCATCGGGCAGTGCCCGAGTTTCCAAATGGTCAGTCCGCCCCTGATATCAACCCGTGTCACTGGGACAGGAAGGGGACATTTCTCTAATGGTGGTCACACAACAGGGGCGGACTGACCATTCGAGCACTCGGGCACTGCACAAGAGCCCGGGGTCAGTAGGGGGCCCTATGAAATGCCCCTGGTACCTTTTATATAGGCTTTTTTTTGGGTGTGCTTTGAGTTTGGGCAAGGACACAGGGGCCCCATGATCCCCTATTGCCCGGGGGCCCCATGATCCCTTGTTGCCCGAGGGCCCCATGATCCCCTATTGCCCAGGGGCCTCATGAGTTGTCAGTCCGCCCCTGGTCAGACATACTCCGATTTTATCACCTGATGTGCAATTTGATTCTTTAAAAAAATCGAATAAACCTAACTTCCCTTCCGATCAATTTATGGCGACCATACATGCTTTGATTTTTTTTTTTCATCTGATCGATGTTCAATTCAATTAAAAATGATTAATTCCGCAACCAATTCACAAGCCATAATTTCTCTTTCGATCGATTTGATGTGCCCTCAGTTTGAAAGAGTCTAACAAAAGTTGAAACTAAATTGATCATAAGGGAAATTATGGCTATTCAGTTTAGACCCAATTTCCATCAGATTCGAACAAAGCGAGGCAATCAGCCAGGGCAAAAAAAATGATCGATCATTTTGCTTCAGTCGGTAGCTCTTAAATACTTTGTTCTTTAATACGATTGTATTTGAATTGATCAGATGATGAGAGTGCATGGTAGAAACAGGTGAGATTGACAACTTGAGATCACAAGTTTTGAAATCTTCTTCCCCAAGTGTGACATACAATCGATCAAATCAGTTCTCGACCACAGATCGATTATTCACACCAGAAGAGACCAATTGGAAAAGAAATCAATCATTCATTGAAATGTGTACAGCCACCATAAAATGATCGAATTAAATAAGAACCGTAAATCATAGACGACCCGTTCATATCATTTGCTGAGCTTTAGATTTTGGCATTGGCAGGTTGATCAGCTGAGGCAGAATTTTATCAATTGCTTCTGATCAATCGATCGATCGAATATCTGCTTTTGCGCTAGACATCTGGTCATAAAACAGGCCGATTATTGTTTCATGATTGTTTCTGATAGATTATACTCTCAACTGATACCAAATGTTTTACATCATTCAATATCTAAACTGATCGCCCATATCTAGATCGACCTCAAATCACTACGTGTATGGCCACCTTAATGCTTTTATTTTTTTTCTTAATGGAGGAAATCAGGGGGGGGCTCCAAACTATGTCCCATGGGCCAAATGTGACCCATTGCAAGATTTTATCTGATCATCTGATGTAAGAGGGGAAATTGACCGGGACCCTGATGTAAGGAGGGACTCTGATGTCAGGAGGGTCTCTGATAGGGACACTGATGGGGACCCTGATGTCAGGAGGGACTCTGATGGAGACCCTGATGTCAGAAGGGACACTGATGTCAGGAGGAACTCTGATGGGGACCCTGATGTCAAGAGGGACTCTGATGGGGACCCTGATGTCAAGAGGGACTCTGATGGGGACCCTGATGCCAGGAGGGACACTGATGTCAGGAGGGACTCTGATGGGGACAGTGATGTCAGGAGGGACTCTGATGGGGACAGTGATGTCAGGAGGCACTCTGATGGGGACACTGATGCCAGGAGGGACACTGATGCCAGGAGGGACTCTGATGGGGACAGTGATGTCAGGGAGGACTCTGATGGGGACAGTGATGTCAGGAGGGACTCTGATGGGGACCCTGATGTTTACAGGAGGGACACTGATGTCAGGAGGGACTCTGATGGGGACAGTGATGTCAGGAGGGACTCTGATGGGGACATTGATGTCAGGAGGGACACCCGATGTAAGGAGGGACTCTGATGGGGACACTTATGTCAGGAGAGACTGTGATGGGGACACTGATGTCAGGAGGGACATCCAATGTAAGAGGGACTTTGATGGGGACTGTGATAGAAGGGGATCCTGATGGGAATGCTGATGTGTAAGGGTTGGTTATCACCTATGCAGTTTGCTTTTGATCCATTTCTGCAGTGCTTTTTGTGGTGCGTTTTGCATTTTTCTTCACGTTTTTGATGCGTTTTAGTTTTTTTGGGTTTTTTTGGCCAATTTGTTGTCAGGCAGATTAAAGAACGCAAACTGTAAAATGCATTCAAAACACATTACATGCGTTTCTGCAGCGTTTCCATTGAAGTCTATTGAACCCAAAACACACCGTTTTGTGTTTTAAAAAGTCCCTGACATTTTCCAAAAACGCAGCAGCTGAAAAAAAGCCGAGATGTGAATGTGTCCCATAGAAAACCATATTAAATGGCTTTTGATCCGTTTCTGTAGCACTTTTTGCACATGCGTTTGTGACGCTTTTTTATTTTTATTTTCATTTTCATTTTTTTGCAGCTTTTTAATGCTTTTTTTTTTTTTTTGACAATTTGTTGCTGGGCAGCTAAAAAAAACCACAAAGTGTTTTACGATTTTGCACGCACGGTTTTGATGTTTTTAAATGCATTTTGCGCTTTATAAATGTTTTTTTTTGCCCAGCTTGTTGCTAGGCAGATTAAAAACGCAAAACACAGCAATAACGTGGCAAACACGTGAACATGCGTCAAAAACACACTACATGCGGTCTCTGCAGCATCTCCATTGAAGTCTATTGACCCAAAATGCACTGTTTTGCATTTAAAAAAGGTCCCTGACCCAGGGGAGGACTGACCATTAGAGCACTCGGGCACTGCCCGAGGGCCCGGGGTCAGTAGCGGGCCCCATGAGATGCCCCTGGTACCTTTTTATAGGCTTTTTTGGGTGTGGTTTGAGTGTGGGCGAGGACACAGGGGCCCCATGATCCCCTATTGCCCGGGGGGCCCCATGAGTTGTCGTTTTTGCACATGTGTTTGTGACGCTTTTTTTTTTTTTCTTTTTTAGCGTTTTGCAGGTTTTTTTTAATGCTTTTTTTTGCCAATTTGTTGTTGGGCAGATTAAAAAAATCACAAAGCATTTTACGTTTTTGCACGCACACTTTTTGACTGGTTTTTAAATGCATTTTGCATTTTTAAATGTTTTTTTTTTTCT